AATGCCCTTCCCCAATAATGAGATTGATGACTACCTTATATATCATCCTAGAGCCTTCATCCAGTGGCTGATGGAATCAGAGGCAGACACCCACAGCTAAACACTGAACCGAACTCCTGGAATCCAGTTACAGAGAGGGAGGAGTGATGAGCAAAGGGGTCAAGACCAGGGTGGAGAAACCCACAGAAACAGCTGACCAGCATAGGACTGATCCAGTCCTGAGTTTTCGACATCCAACCTGTGTGATCTCCACAGCCATCCAAGAGCTGCGGCTCTCAGGTTCCTCACTTATGAAAAGTCTGTGTCACGTGACCTTCATGGCATGAGAAGCTCTGTTTCTTCCTCTCACTTGTCACAGGGAGACAGTAGTTCTCAACCTTCCTAATGCTTCGACCCTTTAATCTAATTCTTCATGTTGTGGTGACCCCAACCATAAAATTATTTCGTTGTTACTATATAACTATAATTCACTGTTATGAGTTGTAATGTAAATATATGATATGCAGGATGCCTGTTATGTGACACCCCTCCCCCCAAAAAAGGGGTTGTGACTCAACAGGTTGACAACCACTGTCCTGGATAGATATTAAGGATTCTGCCCCAATTTTTCTTCAGGCCCTTTTTTATGTTAGAAATTAAAAAAAATATTTTAAAAAACTTATGTGTCTGTATGCCTCCTTGAGTGTAAGCACATGTGCATGTGGGTGTTGCCAGAAGCCAGAAGAGGACATTGAATCCACCGGAGCTGTAGGTACAAGTGGTGAACTGCCAACCAATGGGGGCCAAACTTGGATCCTCCAGAAGACTACTAAGCACACTGCTGAACCTTCTCTTCAGCCTTGGTTTCAAAGATTTCAAGATTCTTTTTTGAACTGAAATAAGCACATGAAATTGTTTTGATGGCAGTAAGTAGATAATCAGTTTCTTTTGTTCCTTTTTCACAATGGGCTTCCATTGATGTATCTGGCCTTCATCATGATACTTTTCCTGACATCATTTGAACTTTCGGAAATCCTCAATGAGAAATAGATGCACACTTTAGCACTCCCTGAGATCTTGCTTCCACTCAATTGAAATTGAGCACAGTTTTTATATGGGAGTAAGTGAGATAATTAAGAGATTACTAGAAAGAGACGTGTATAAGAAAATGAATGGTTTCTTCCATGTGATTAAATGCGGCAGCTGATACCCTTGATGAGCAGCCATTTGCTGGAAGTGTACTTCATCACCCTGAGTGGTTTCTTGATTGTCGTCTGTGAGCGTGTCCCAACAAAGGAGTGCTGTGATGATACCCATTCACAGACAAGTACACCGAATCTTCGCTTGTGTTTGATGCAAGGTTTATACTGATGGCTCCTGAAGCTGATGACACCAAGCACACACTTTAGTGATTTGCCAAGTGTGGGACATTCAGTGTGAATCTGACCCCAGTTTAGGAGACATTGAACCTAGAAGTTTTTCTGATGGTCGACTCACCCAGTGATTACAGCTATAGTTTTAGATTTTTTTTTTTTTTTTTTTTTGGTTTTACGAGACAGGGTTTCTCTGATTGTTTTGGAGGCTGTCGGTCCAGCCCGGCTTCGAACTCACAGAGATCCGCCTGCCTCTGCCTCCCGAGTGCTGGGATTAAAGGCGTGCGCCACCACCGCCCGGCTTAGAAAATATTTTTAAAACAGATGTTGAACAATGACTAATATTTCTTTTTAAAAAAAGGTGTAAAATAGACAGTCTGCAATATCCACTAAGGATCAGAGAGTTTCCTGATTTTACCCAGCTACCCAACGCTGCAGACCTCTCATATCTCTGGGATGGCAGAGTTAGAGGCCCTTGTGGTCAAGTAGGTTAAGACATCCCTTAATGTCCCGAAGTTTCCATGCCTTGTCTTTATACATTGTGTTTGTCGTGAGAGTCGATGTTTTGTTTGGTAGAGGGACTATCATAGAAATGATTGCTATCCTTGACCTCTGTGCCCAGATTCTCCTCAGTCAGCTCTGCTGACCTAAGCCAAACCTCAGCCTGTTTTATTCTACTAGCTCCCAATGAGGCCTTTGACTTTAAATTTGTTACCAATGAATATGCTTTCAAAGATGCTTAAAAGTATTTTGTGTATACAAGATGATTTGCTATCCATGTGTATTATATAATGATGATCGAGTTCCAACTAATTAACGCATTCATTGCCACCCATGTTGCATATCCATCGTCTAGAGCTGTTCAACTCACAACTGAAAATTTGAGTCCTTTCACCAAGGTCTCTCCTCTTCCTTCCCACGGCACCAGCCCCTTTAAACCCATTCTATATGCTGTATAGTTAACTTCTTGAGATGACATATGCAAATGAGATTTTAAAAAAAAAAGAACCAAAAATAATAGTCTTAATAAAGGCACCTAATAGGGAGCTGATACATTTTTGAGACATTGGAGTTTGGAGATGGTGCCTGTCCTCCTTCCTCCCAGGAATCCCAGGCCTTCCCAGATTATGCCTCACATGTGATCTGGAGTAGGGGAGATGACATACTAACTTGGAAACATTCAGCTGCCAAGTGCCTCTGCTGCGGACTTAAAATAGATCAGACTGAGAAAGGAAGGTAGAACCCGAAGCAACTGTGCCCTCTACACTCAGCCTGTCGGGAGCAGGAGGAAATCTAACACCCCTGTCCTCTCCTCCCATCTCCCTTGTCTGGTTGCTGGGGGGCAGACCTGATGGTTGATCACAAATGCGTCTGAAGGTTCTGCTTTCTTCTCTTTCTCTCTCTACTTTTTAGTAAAACATTTTTTTTAATCTGTAGGAACGGCAGACATTTTTGTTTGGGGGGTTGGGGGTTAACGATGCGTTTAGGGGACTGGATGTGGTCACAATGTGTGATTAACCTCTAGAACAGCATCCATAGATTCTTTTGAAAGACAGGTAGCAGGATCCAGCTGAGTGTTAGAGATGGCTCCCAGACGCCTCAGAAGAAACCCTTTCAAGTTGCAACTGGAGGTGCTGGTAAATGGGGCTGGATCATAGACCAGCTGAGAGCAAATATTGAGTGTCCTGATTCTTCCGGTCTTTTCACACAAAAAGGCGAGAGAGTGGTGTGAGCAGTGGAGTGAAAGAAAGCTGTTCTTGTGTGTGTGTGTGTGTGTGTGTGTGTGTGTGTGTGTGTGTGTGTGTGTGTGTGGTAGCTCAGTAGCAAGAAACAGCATTTTTTTTCTGTGTATTTTCCAAGGGGTTTCTTTCAATTCCATAGAAGAAATGTAGGGCATTCCTTACAGAATGCCCCCTGAGCCTGACATTCTACATCTCCAGGGGAATACTAATGTAGTTGCTGATGCCGATGTACAAAAAATGACCTTGCTCTGTACCAGTGACTACCTAAGTCCTTCGCAGTTGCTTGGCCCCAAGGGAGACCCCAAAGCCAGAGGGCCCACCCATGTTGTTAGGGACATTTAAACAACAGATGGCCATTAGAGACTGCTCCAATCACCCCCATGGCTAGGTCATAGCTATGCCATTTTCAAACTGCCATGTCCCCCCCCCCCGTTTCATGACTTTTGCCGATAATTGTGTTTCCCCTTCTATCTCCCTTAAGTGGGTTAATATCTTAGAGATTGACTGTCAGATTGCAAACTTGGGTGGTGCTCCTTTGCATAGGTGTCTGCAGTCTTAGTGCTGGGCTAGCCTGGCAGCCTCTCTTCATAGGTGCCTTCAGGCTTAGAGCTGGGCTAGCCTGGCAGCCTCTCTTCATAGGTGCCTTCAGGCTTAGTGCTGGGCTAGCCTGGCAGCCTCTCTTCATAGGTGCCTTCAGGCTTAGAGCTGGGCTAGCCTGGCAGCCTCTCTTCATAGGTGCCTTCAGGCTTAGAGCTGGACTAGCCTGGCAGCCTTGCCTCTTGTTTGTTTTTATTTTTGAGAAAGTACAAACAGTTCTACAAATGACTAAAAACTTAGAAAAACAGAAAGCTTAAAAAACAACAACAACAACAACAAAAACAACAGCAAAAGCCTTTGTGTGAGTTGGTCAGCCAAGGCAGATAAAGAAGCCAGCCAGCTCCTACTCCCCCTCCCTACTCCTCAGCATCACCCTTCCTCCTGATTTGGTGGGAAGTGTTTTTCCTTCATTTCTGTGGCAGCCATCCAACCATCCCCTTGTAAATTTCCTTTTGGATTGTAGGGGTCATTAAAGTTTAGTGCGTTTTATCCCTGGGGCTTGGTGGGACTCAGGCTGTGTCCTTACTTCCTGTGCCTCTTGTATGTATTGCTGCCCCTCCAGAGACAACCAAACAGAGGCAGGAGACACATGAAAAGTGAGACTGAGCTGAGTGTGGTGACTTCCTGCTCCAATTCCAGCTCTCAGGATCACCATGAGTTCAAGGCCAGCCCTAGAACCACAGAGTGAGTGAGAGTCTTTCTCAATAAACACCTCAGTCCCACTATGACACCCGCCCCCCAAGCATAGGCCTTAGGGACTTGTGAAAGTTGTCCATACATGTCAATGATACTTATATTACGATTTGGGGACATAGATTGCTTTTCCCAGTATGGCATGGCCTGAAGACTACAGCAATTGCATCTTATTATGATCTGTTCTCAGAGCAAGAATGTAAAATGAAGCTGTACCGCCAAAGAAAAAGGTTAGGACTCCCTATATGTCATACACTGTTTCCAGGCAGTTCTGTCGCTAAGGGGTTTTGTAAACTAATAATGCGCTCCCCCATTGTCTGTAACGGAGAAGTAGGCAAGGGACATCTAAGAATGGGACTGAAGCCACAGCTGGAGAAAGTGTCTTCCAGACAGCTCCTGGGACAGGCCTTTGTACTGTGAGGGGCCAAGTGGCAGCAAGGAACAGAGGCGTCCCCAAGAGAAGCTGGGTCACAGCCTGGCGGTACTGGTCTCAGAGGAGCCTGGGCAGACATCCAGGGTGCCGGGCAAAGGGGACAGCAGATTCTCAGCCAAGGGCTGCCACTCACCAGGGTGATGGGAAATAGCAGCCTCTTAGTGGCACGGTTGTGACATTGGCATGAGCAGCCCCGCACAGCTGGACGGTGCTGGCACCCGCTTGGGCCTGTGGAAGGCAGCCAGCCCAGCTGTACTGAAATGCTCATTCTTTATTCTCCTCCTCAAATCCTGCATCTCAACATGCAGATAAACAAAAGGGGTGATATTATGGTTCATGCGGGAGACAGAGCCCTTCCCAGCTGAGAGAAGAACAGTTTGCCTGTTTGTAGCCGAGTTCTGTGCCTACAGGTTATTTGTGTTAGGAAGGAACTTGTATTGTTTTAGAGTTTCATTGCCCTTGAGACAGAGCTCCTTCTGACTTTACAGGGTCATGCATTTGGAGTGGAGCTCTGGTGGGTGTGGGTTTGTGTTACAGGGAAGTAGTCTATCAGAGGAGATTGTTGCCTCTGTGGTGATGTTCCCTGCAGCCTTAAAGCCAAGCACTAAAAGCTACCCTCTGATGTGTTCATTGGTTGGATCATTTAACACATCTGGGTTATGCTTTCATTTTCTGGGACCTTCCTAATTTTATTGTGAAGATATAGTAATACACTTTATGTAGCACCTGCCCCCATGGACAAGTGTCTAAGACAGTGACAGTTACATCCATTTGGTGAGAAATGATGACAAGACTAACGTGATTCAGCTTGCGCTCTGCACTCAAAGAGATGGAGGAGGGAGAGGCACTGGCAAGGGTCAGCACCTTCTTCCACAAGAGCAAAAACCAACCCTTCTCTTCCTCCCAGAACATCAGGCTTAAGCTTTTCCTATTTTCAGTTAGAGTAAGTTAGGTGCCTCCTGTGTTTATCATATATTAAATGACTGCAGACATGTCTTGGCATCATAAGGATCACTAACACCAGTTTCATGACTTTGTGCTGCTCTTGACATGAGGAGCACATGTAAGAAGGAGAAGGCCTGATGTATACCCAGTCAGAAGCTGAGCCGGAGCTGGACCCACACTCCACAGCCAAGTGATGCCTCCCACAGGCAGTTTGGCTGACTTTGCCCTCTTTGTTGTTTTGGGCTGTCTTAGTTGGGAATGATCACTTCCAGATCATTATGTTTGGTGTAATGGGAACTTTGGAGGGACAGGGAACCATCATGCATGTATGTAAGAAGGAAGAGGGTGTTTCTTGAGTATTCTGAATCTGAAGTTACCTAAATTGCCTGAAATCCCTAGTGTGGTGTATTGGGAATAGCAGGGAAGCTTCTGTGGGGACTTAGCAGCCGGGGATCTGGTACCCAATGTTACTTAGCTCTAGGCTTGTGTACCCAGCTGCCAACATAATACTAGTGCCCAGAAACACTCTCTGAATCCATCATGGTAGCAGTTCTGAGGCATTTAGAATTTTTTCTAAAGACCTAACTGTTGAAATAAAAATAAACTGTTGACAGCTTTAAACAGCACTTTTTCAGTGCTAAACTCTAAAGGTCTGAGAATGACAGAACAAAGCAAAGAGTTTGCTTTGACAACTTTTCTGTTTCTCCTTATTTCAGATGAACTTGTCCTGTTGGTAGCTATTCATCTGACAGATTATAACTGTTATGTAACAACCAAGTTCTCCCTTTAGGTTGTGTCTTGGTTAGGATTTCTCTTGCTGTGAAGAGACGCATGACCACAGCAACTCTTATAAAGGAAAACATTTAATTAGAGCTGGCTTATACTTTCAGAGGTTTAGTCCATTTTCATCAAGGCAGGAAGCATGGTGGCATGGTGGCATGGAGGCATGGTACTGAAGAAGGAGTTGAGAGTTCTACATCTTGATGTGCAGGCAGCAGATTTAACTGTGTACCACACTGGGCATATCCTGAGCATATGAGAACTCAAAGCCCACCTCCACAGTGACACACTTCCTCCAACAAGGCCACACCTCCTAATTGTGCCACTCCCTGTGGACCAAGCCTTCAAAGAGTCCGAGGGGCCATTCCTATTCTAAGGATCACAAAATGAAAATGACTTTTATTGGTACAAAATATTAAAGTTTTTTTTTTCATTTAAAAATAGAACAAAGGTGGGTGGGGCTCCAGGTCTTCCAACGGAGGTCTCCCTGTGGGCTTCATTGAAGCAAAGACTCTTGGAATTGCAACACGCAGAAAACCTGTCTTATCTGTCAGTGCAAGAAAGATTAAAGACAATGCAGCTGATTGGCATAACTTAATCCTGAAATGGGAAAGCCTCAGCAATGCCGGCTTTACCACTGCCAGCAATGTTGCCAACCTTAAAGTCAGCCTGCTGAGTAAAGAGGTTAAATTAGAGAGCAGCAGCCCAGCTTCCAGTGAGAAGGAAGAAAAGACGAATCTGGACTACAGCAAGGAACTTGAATCACTGTGTAAGGAGCTGAAAGCCACCTTGGGATGGCTTGACTAAAATACAAATGAAAATGGAAAAACTCTCTTCAACCACCAAAGGAATTTGTGAACTAGAAAATTATCATTACTGGGAAGAAAGTAACAGGCCCCCTCTGTTCCACACATGGCCCACGGCCTTCTTTTATGAGGTCTCCCACCGGCTGTCTGACGCATACAAGAAGGAGCTCCTCCTGAAGCAGACCATTGGTGCAGAGCTGGCCCATACGGCTGACCGCAACCTCAGCCTGAACTACCTGTCCATGTGGCTGCACCAGCCCTACATAGACAGTGACAGCAAGCTGCAGCTGGAGAGCATGCTGCCCGAGACAGGGCACCGGGCCCTGTGACTCCCCTGCCACCTGGCCTGTGATCACGGCCGCGGGGCTCCAGACCGCCGGCTGGACAGTCACTTGGATGGGAACTGTTGTGCCCCAGGGTCCGCCACTGCAACCGCTGCAGACACAGCACTATGCTCTCCCAGCCTGCCCTGTCCCCGGTCATCATGTGAGCACCACTGAGTGGAATAAATTAGAAGAACAGCTGAGGGGCCTCATTTTATAAACTGAGTATATGGTACATGTTACACCTGTGTGGACAACCTTGGTTTCCTATTTTTACTTTTTATCTATGCACCTTTTTGTTCTGTTTTTTGTTTTGTTTGTGGGCTTTTTTTTTTTTTGTGGTAGTGGAAATCAAACCCAGATCTCTCACAAGCTGAATACTTAACCATTGGGCCATATCCCCAACCGGCGCCTAAAATTCGGAGAATGTTCTAGTTCTGTAATTACAAGTAAAATCCCATGGGCATTTGAAGTTTAAAATCTTATCACTTTTTAAGATTTTATTTTTACTGGCTGGGCGGTGGTGGCGCACGCCTTTAATCCCAGCACTCGGGAGGCAGAGGCAGGCGGATCTCAGTGAGTTCGAGGCCGAGCTGGACCGACAGCCTCCAAAACAATACAGAGAAACCCTGTCTCGTAAAAACCAAAAAAAAAAAAAAGATTTTATTTTTACTGTATCTGTGTCTGCATATATATATCACATGTACAATTGACCAGGGCAGCCACAAAAGGAGTGGGATCCTTGGAGCTAGAGTTAAAGGTGGTTGGCACCCACCTGACCTTGTTGTTAGGAACCAAACTAGTCTCTAGAGCAGATCACACTCTCCTATGGCTGGAGAGATATATTAAATATATTCTATAATATATATACATATATTAGTAAATGTATTTGTAAATTATAAATATATATTTTTCAATCCTTTAGCGTTAACTGAGTAGAGTGTGTGTCATAGAGATGAAAACCACTTACCAAGAATTACTGCTGCTTGCATTTGGGACAAACCAATAAAAAGTAATCACAAAAAAATAGAACAAAATAATGATAAATTCCACTTTTTAATACTCTCGCTTGAAAATGGCATGTTAAAAACAATGGAGTTCTCTAACTCTGTGGAATTGCTATTGGGTTGGTTACAATTGAGAGCCCCAAACATTCGGGCCTTTTTACTCATTTCTGCATTTGTATTAGAGTTGAGCCCATCTTCTCAAAGATGCTGCTGTGTGTCTTAGTGTGTTCCATTCTTGTCCCTCTGCTTGTTGCCTGGACTCCCGCCACAGGGGAGCTCTGACATCCTGATTCATGCGGTCTGTGAGATCCAGGAGGGAAGCAGGCTCCAGTGAGAAGAGGGTAGGTCATAGCACCACCCAAACTCACCAGGCACACTGGTGCCTTCACAAAAAGACAGTTGTGTGCTGCCAGAAAGAGCATGGTCTTAGGCCAAGCGTATCCTTAGGATAGACAGGACAGCCACTGCATAGATATCCAAAGGGCATGGTAATGATTTTGTTGATAAACTGAGCTCTTGGATAGGGACACCTAATAGGCCTCTCAGCCAGCGTCCAGCAAGTTGCTGTGCCCAGGACTACAGGGTGCACTGTACCTGCTTATCTCAGGGTCCTACTGTGCAGATGATGGTGAATACACCTTCCCTTTCCATGTCTGCTCCTAACGATGTAAAACCTCATTCAAAGAAATGCAGCATTTCTGTTTGCAAGTATGTAAAGGTGGTGCGTGTGATCTCTGAAGCTCCAAGTTAGCCCTTTGTTATAAAAATTAATAAATAAAAGTTGAAAGAACTGGGTTCAAATGGAGCTGTCATTTTTCTCACTTCTAATATGCCCCCAAGTTCTGTATAAAACATGGAAAGTTGAGCTGTTTCATCAATGTGTTACTGTTTCTGCTGTCCCCATCTGGGGCCCCAGTAAAGGAGTAACTAAGAAGCAGTACCTCTTACAATACCATTTCCATACCACTGTCACTGGTAGTCATACAAGAATTCTGAGCGTTGCTTAAAGGTTTCTTTTTTGAGGAGGGCAAGGGGGGGTCGCTAAAATTATTCATAAAGAATTAATCACTATTAATTAATAAAGATTATTGGATATTTGAGGTTAATTATCCAGACTAGACCAGCAGTGGTGAGATGGGCTAAAGGTTCCATTGCTTTCTGACAGCTTCCAGAGCAGAAACCAGGCCCTCTATTGGACTTTCTCTGTGGGTGCTTCTCACCTGGCTCTTGTTAACTGGTTTCTGAAGGTTTAACGGGATTTCTCCAGCTCCCTTCCTCCTTGGTGGTGATCTGAACTGCAGATGACAGTCTTTGTAGCCGTGGCTTGGAATAAAGAGAGACTATGGTTTAGTATTAAAGAAGACATTTGGGCCTTTTTACTCATTTCTGCATTTGTATTAGAGTTCAGCCTTCATCTAGAGAACCCCAAATGTTTGACCATGCTTCAGCACACACTGAAAAATTCCTAAGGAGACAGAGTGAGAAGGAAGTCAGTTGTCTTATGATTCCTAACTCAAGCCTCCTGACAGCATTTCCAAATGCCTAAAGCTCAGTGTTTTAGTTACGCTAGGACCACTGAGAAGGCCACCAGTAGGAAGTTTGCTGTGCTCTCCTTTGACGTAGATCTCTCATAGAGTAGGCTTTCACCAATGTCAGTGGTTGGAGTTGCAGTTGAAAGACCTCCATTGTCTTATTCTAATAGCATGGGCCTGAAGGGTGTGCAATACCCCAGCTCATATGTGCAGAACCCCTTGAAGTCAGGGATGTGAGTAGTCTTGGGGTGGTTGCAGTTGCTACCTTGCACACACTAGGAAGTAGTAGACAGTGGGGTGTTCATTTGGGAATGAATTGCTGCCCTGAAGGGTTCACTCCACACTAATTGTTCTGTAAAGTTTTTCTCAGATATTTAAAAAAATAAATATTGGGAGCTGAAGTTTTAAAAGAAGGAGCTGGGTTGGCTATGGTCCTTTGGAAATGCCACCAGGGTGTCCTTTCTGCACTGCCCCTGCTTCTAACATGGCAGTCCTGTGTACACATGCTGTTCAAACTCCAGATTAGTTCCTTGTCACACTGAACCTCACCACCTAGGCACCTTCCTTTCTATGACAGTAGCTCCTTTGAGACAGTAGCAATGTTCTATTGATCATTGTGGTCCCAGCACTTTGTGTCATACCGCATGCCACAGAAGGGTGATGTGTCTTTTCCTGGCTACTCTGTCTTGGGTTAACTTTCCTTGTTGCCCTAGAGCCACAAGCTTAGATACTCCTGGAGCCCTGGTAGAGAGTGTGAGCCCTTCATACACCAGTTCTCTTAGCCCCCAGAAGTGTCACAACTTAGAGGGGCTGCCCCAGTGTATGCAGCGTTCGCAGAATGGTCTTACAAATGACTATAGAGGCTTTTGTTTGTTTTTGTTGCTTTATTATAGATTTTTGGAGACAAAGAACTTGCTTGTCTTGCCTCAGTTCTACAAGGCTTAGCCAGTAGCCACGAGGGAAATAAACCAGAGTCTGAAACAGAGTTCCTGATGGGAATATTTGTCCTGGGGACTCCTCCTTTGTGTTATTGCACAAAGCCTTTGAGATAACTGAGTGTAGATTCTTGACATTACAGTCCGGAGACTCAGAGGGGCTCCTGGTAGAATCCGTTTATAGGCTCCCAAGAAACACCTGAAGCGCTGTTTTGACAAGAACTGACACATTAGAGACGACTGTTTCCTAATGTGCTGATGTTGCAGAGGTAGACAAGGTGGCTTATGGCTTGTGGGATTATAGTAGGAAAAGTGCAAGCAAAGTAAATGCAGATGTTTTTATTCTCAAAAACCTAAAATGTGAATTCCCTCTTGATGATCATCAGGGGAAAAAAGCAGTAAAGGAATAGGGACCTTTGATGTACCTCATTTCAGCACAGTGCGACTCCTCTCTAATGAATAAATGGAACCTTAATAAGGAAAATTACTCACCACTTTTTCACTTGCGGATTGATTTGCGGTGGGCTAATTTAATATCATTTGCCTATTTGAGGCATGCCTCTTAGGAAAACAAAGTCGATTTACCTGAAAAGACACTCGGAGTGTCGGTGGAAAAATGGCAACAATGTAGCACATTTTTATCATGAAATGGTGTCTAGTGTTACCTCTCCAGGTGAGCTGTGGTGACTGGCTTTTAGTATAGAGATGCATATTTCCCACACCCAAATCAGGGTTGACATGGGGGTAAAGAAGGGCGGTATATGCCTTTCTATTTCTTTTTGGTGGACTGAGAGGCAAATTCGGGAAACTGATCACCGATTACCATTGCTTCTTAGCCTTTGAGAATCTAGTGCTGGCGGAAGACTTAACTCTGAAAAGTGCAAGTTCAGAAGCCTGTCGATTGCATCTCAGTTACAAGCATGGGGGCAGACTCACTAGGTGTGTTTGTTTTCCCTCAGCCACCAGTTGTATCATCTTTCTGAAAAAATGCCAAAGGCTTTCCTTGTTGCTGTGATTATGTACTCTGGTTCCCAGCTGGTGGCACTGTCTAGGGGAGTGCAAAGGAGATTGCAGGGAAGTATGGCCCCATTAGAGGACACATGTCACGAAGAGCAAGCTTTGAGTTTGTAGCCTCATGCCTCTTCCAGTTCACTCTCTCTGCTTCATGTTTGCATTTGAAGATGTGATCTGTCAGCTTCCTGCTTTGACTACCTGCTGCCATGACTCCAGGTCAGGATGGACTCTCCTGGAGCTGTAAGCCCAAGTAGACTTTTCTTCCTTAGATTACCTTTGGTTATGGTGGTTGACCACAAGAGAAAAGTGACTAATACACTCATGTATTATACTAGTCTCCAGTTATATTTTTAATTGAGTTCTGAGATAGTGGGCTTCCGTATGACCTTTCCTTCATTTCTTCCTTTCTTGCCCTTCTTCCGTTCCCTCCCTCCCTCCCTTCTGTCTTTCTTTTCATTTTTTTGAGACAGGGTTTCTCTTTGTAGCCTTAGCTGTCTGGGAACTTGCTCTGTAGGCCGGCCTTGAACACACAGGGATCCCTCATGTGACTTTTCATACACCTTCTTTTTGGTTTGCCTTCCCCCTAACTCCTGACTTCCCTCATACTCCTGCTTCCCTCCCTGCTTAAGCCTTTCCATCCCCAATATTTCCATTCTTTACTTTTGTTTGGACTATGACCTATTATCCTCATCCTTTAATG